TATCCAGAAAGGAACTACATAGGAACCCTTGGGCAGGAACTGCTTTAAAGGCGAAAGTATGTGCTATTTGGGCACATGGACACCCTTGGAGTAACCTTCAGTTCCCTGGGATACAGGACACATAAGAATCACCGGAGTCCAAGACTTCAAAGGTTTAGGGTTGGTGGGGTTAAGAGGCTGTACAGGGTTTATAGGCAGTCTGGGTTGTTTAGGGTTTAGTGAATGCTGCAGTATATACTTGTAGAGAAAATGTACCAAGTGGGAAGTCCCTGCACCTGAAGTATATAGCATGCGACAACCTGGCCACTTGGGAAGGCTGGAAGAAGCCTAAATATTTGCCATTTTTCCTCAGGGATCCTTATTGTGGCTATACTGCAAAGGAGCCCTATTCTAATTATTACCTAAACCCTAAACCCTAAACCCATCATTAAAGTCCCTACTACAATTAGGGCCAGGGTTTTCGTGTTTGGCCGTCGACGGTTGCAAGGTTCGGAAGCCCAAACTTGAACAGGATTTAGGTTTTAGGGTTTAGGGCTTAGGATTTGTACAGGGATTTAGGGTTTAGGAATGATTGGGTTGGGGAGTTTTGGGTTCAGGATTTAGGGTTTAGGGCCTGGGTGTTCAAGAATCGCACCTAAGGATTCAGGGCCCCTTAAGCCTAAGCCCCTAAGAAACCATAAGCCGTCATTTGTATATGCCCTCAATCTATACCCTGGCTATGGAACCTTCACGCCTGGGGCTTGAGTAGATGGAGTAAGATCCTTCCAACAAGGAAAATGCCTAAATCACAGTAGGATCCTTATACCGTTAATATAAGGTAAATTCCTGAAATTAGTGGATATGCCTGAGATCATAATAGGGATCCTGCATTGAACTGAGGGCTCGGCGAATCTTGACCTCAGAAGTTTGGGTATCAGGGTTTATAGTGGAAGCCAGAAAGTTGGAACAGTAGTATCTTCATGCCCTCAAGGTAAAGCATAAGGGATCCTAGCAACAATCCTCCTAAACCCAATCCTGAACCCTAAACTCTAAACCCAACTTTCTGGGATCAGTCTTAAAGTCTAGGACATTTTTTCAGGTGGGTAGTTACCGTGATAGGAGCCTTATAGAAGTAGGTCTATATACCTTATGGAAGCTTTATAGAAGCCCTATATACCCTAGACTCCCCACCTGTAGTTTCCTTTAATTAAGTTTACGTGATGACGTGTTCCCTAAACCCTAAACCCTAAACCCTGAACCCTAAACCCTAAACCCTGAACCCTAAACCCTAAACCCTGAACCCTAAACCCTGAACCCTAAACCCTAAACCCCAAGCCCCAAACACTGAACCCTAAACCCTGAACCCTAAACCCTAAACCCTAAACCCATGTTGTAAGTTTACGTGTTGAGGCTTATGGGTGCTTGAGTCCGTTCGGAGGGCGGCTTGGGGGTTATCGGCTCAAGGGTTCGTCTTAGCTCCCCAAAACCTCACCTTCAAACTTTTTTGGGTTCTTATGATTTAGTAGGAATCTGAAAGTTTAAGCTTTTTTGGGGTTCTTATGATTTAGTAGGAATCTGACAGTTTAAACTTCTTGGTTCTTATAATCGAGTAGCAATCTGAAAGTTTGACTTTTTATTTTCCTGGCTTATTGGGGAAGTAAGTCACGGGCTTGGTCACAGGTTGTCTTGAATCGCAGGTTTGGTTATAACATGTTTTGGAATGGTCTTTGGGGGGGTTGAGGTTTGAGAGCATGGGGATCCGGGATTCCTCCTGGCTTCTAGGCCGGAAACACGACTGGAGGTTGTCAGGATTCAGAGTTTGAAGAGGTTTTTGATCAGCATCAAGCTTGCAGGGGAGAGATGTAGCTCTTCGGACGTTGGGTTTTGTGGCGCGCTAGCAAAGCGGCAATGAGCATGATATCTCTGACCACGATCGACAGATGGTCAACACCGTCCGTAATGTTGCCGCTGTTCCTTGTTGTTGTCATGGTCCAAGTCTTCGACGATCAACACATGAGTGGTAAGACAAGCAAGCGTGCAGACACTGTAAGTAATAGTCAGGAAGCATAACCACTCTTTTCCGGATGGTGATTTCCACAACTCCATCATCTAGGTCCGTAACCATCAGCATGATTTTGCAAATCGTGATCGTGTCTCTTAAGCCTCAGACCGGGAACCCAGCCTTCCCCCTTACCCTAAGCCTGAAACCCTATGCAGGATTACACCAACCTTGAGCTACATGCCCAACTTCAACGCCACACTCCTTCAGCCAAGGAGTTTGCCAGCAAAGCGCTGTGTTCGGCTGTGAGGCCATTCCGCCACATAAGTTCGCGGCCCATCTCACTGGTCAAGGACACTTCGCGAACCTGCAGAGGCGCGCAGTGTCTTTGGTGTTTTGGTCTACGCCGGGCGGTAAGCCTTTTTCAAGCTTCTTATGTACTTACCCAAACCCGAAACCCTAAACCTTCTGAGCTTGACAACTCCCATGGGGGTCTGCCACTCCACTTAGGGCAGGCTGGAGCCGTCGCGACCGCTAGCGAAACTTGCGAAGCCCGCAGCTGCACCCGAGGGTCGCAAATCGTAGGCACCTGGTTTCGTTGCTGCATGTGCAGGATGTGATGAGGAACGTCCTTCCACACATGTAATTGCTTCATCTAAATGCTTATACTTTACCCTATAAACTCCGAAACCTGATACTCAAAACACTACACAGTTCGGCCCTTTTCCGTCCTCTTGGGTCTCTTTGCGGCCCCTTCCCTTCTTTGCGTTTTTCTTACCCCAAAAGCAGAGAAAGCAAAAGGCCACCAAGGTGTCGTCCACCCAGCCCCCAGCCCAGCACACACGTTCTCATCAAGATGAGGTAATTTGCATCCCAAATTCTCAGACTGGTTTAGGGGTTTAGGGTTTAGAGGCATCCTAAACCTATATTGCAGGTCTCAGGAAAACGGTTGATGATATGAATCCTGCACTACTTTAAGGCCCCTAAACAATGGGAATTATGGTATATTCCTTATTATTATGGGTAATGCAGGATTTATATCATGGGCAATGCAGGATTTATATCATCAACCGTAGTAGCTGTCTTATCCAAGGCTCCTTTTTTGCCACTTCATGTGGTGATTGTTGATCCCACATGAGTGTCTCCCAGTATGGACCCTAGTCCTAGTCAGAGCAATCCCAAGTCCTCCTACCGCAACAGAGCCGGGTTTGGGGTTTAGCGGCCATGAGTTGGCTGTTCCACTGCAGTACAGACGTCTGAACAGTATGACAATACGTACCACCGGATACTCCCTTGTCGCTTTAACCACATTGCTGTATAACCCCAAACCCGAGTCTGATTCCATAAGAACTGTTTCAGTGAAAGACTTGGAGCACTTTTATCCTTCTGTGTGAAACAACCCTAAACCCTAAGCCCCTAACAACCCTGACACCCTAAACCCTAAACCCTATATACCCCAAGCCGCTAATAACCCTGAAACCGAGAGGATTGGTGAGTACGACGCTGACGGAGAGCCACTTTGCTGGAACGTCTTTAGCATCACGCGGGGTCCACCATCCAGAACCTGTGTCCTTGTTAGGCAAGTTGCGTAAGACTTCCGTCATACTGAACTGTATGTATGTATATATATATATACAATATATATACACATACATATACATGTATTTCTTTATGTGCATAACCTTGTTAAACTGCACATAGGATGCATTCCCCTCTGACTATGATAACTTGAGTTAAGCTCGCAAAAGGGAACCTTGCCCAGACCAGGCACTCGTCACGTCTTACGAGATTCGGGAGTTTCCAAAACAAGGACTCCAAATAATGTAGGGGCTTAAAGAATTACCCATACTATTTTTTTTGGTGGGGGTCCTTGTTGTAATTATAGTATAGTGGGCCCCAAAGCCTTGTTGAAATTATTCAGGCCCTATACTATGGTTGGAAGTAGTTCGGGTCCGTCTTCACATACACACGCACACGTGCCCTACACAAGGCCAATGCTCACAAACCTTCGTCCCCGTGCCAGCAATGCACAGGCTCGGCGACTTAAAGACTTGTGCAAATGAGTCCGGTATACAGGGCTCGAAAAATTCCTACATTTTGTCCTCTCCAGGGTGTAGTTTTACGGTTTCGGGCTTAGTACTTAGGGTTTCAGGGTTCATGGTTTACAGCTTAAGATTTCGTTGGCTTTTAGGGGTCTAGGATCTTGCGAGTAGCTGCGTGTAGATCCTCGACCCGATGTCATTGAAGCACAAACGCCAACCTCAGAAGCCCAACTTTTGTTGTGGAAATTCCGACTAGGCATCCCTCGAGAGCAACCGGTTTGGACACTGCTACTATGGAGAGCTCCCAGTTGTGTCCCCATGTTCTCATGGAGTGGTTCCTTGCACGGCAAGGACCAAGGCATAGCATGATTTGCCTAAAGGCTCAGGGCTTGGGGCCATACAGCGATGCCAAGACCAAAGGACAATGTCTGCCGCTGTGACACTCGGAGCCATCGCTACATAGATTCAAGACTTTACATCAACTCACAACCCATCATGAAATCGTTTCTCATCAGGCATAGTAGGCGAAAACATGCGAACCTCAAATCCCGTTTCCCTTTGGCTTGCAAATTTCCGCAGGGATGTTCAGGTTGTTGGATTCAGCTGTTCGCATCTCCGAGTCGGGATATCGCATCTGAGCTTCTAGACCCTAAGCCGTAGACGCTAAACCCCTAAACCCTAAACCCTTAAATCCCTAAACCCTAGAGCCTAAACTGTTGACTGCTACAGACGTCCTAAGTTTTGCGGCTCTATGACCAGAAACCCTCAACCCGAACGCTGCCTGAACGTACCCAAAGGTCCAGAGGACCCAGTAGCAATGTGGGTTTGGGGTTTAGGGTTTCTGG